GGGTTCGTTTTTTGGCTAAAATTAATTCGAAGTCAGAAAATTATGAAATTTACCAATATGAAGTAGAAATTTGCGCTGCTCAACGCGATCTGACGTGTTTCCAGAGGTAAGGTCTGCACCGATTGAAAATCACATTTTTTGGCAATCTAATCGTTTACGTTCGGGCCCATACCTAAGCGCACCTTTCAGAACACTACTAAAAAGTGACCAAATTAGATTAATACCCTAATAATTAAACATCACATAAACTACTGAATTGCTGCAGACGATTGAGGTTCCAAGCCGAGGGTGGTCAGAATTTGACATTGATTTAAGCTACTTGCTGGGAATGTTTTCTCAGGCTATATGGAAAGATCTACTCCACACACATTGTATAAGTGTTGCCATGAAAATGGATTTCTCGAAAAAATCGGGTTTCAATCCACCCTGCAAAAATCGAAATTCGAGATAAGACAATTAAAAAAATACTTACATCAGTAGACGCCTACAACAAAAGAACAGTAAAAGTAATGAAATTACTAAAGGTTTAATTATCAAATTATGATGCATAAATGGTTTCAAAACCTTAAATATTGGAGTGGTTGTGGTGGATAAGGTGGTTGTGGTGGTGAAGGTGGAGTGGTTGAAGTTGTATGAAATATAATTTAAGGTTCGACTAGTGTTCTATTACTTTATTTTTTTTAATTTGTTACTTTTTTTAGTGTTTGTCACTTTTTTGAATATGTTTAAATTCGTTTTTTTTTTTTGTTATATATGTATAATTTTTTGTGCTTAGGTTTGGGTCTGTTGGTAATAATAGTGGTGGTGACAGAGAAGGCGGATGAACAACGATTGTGTCGAAGGTTGAGTTGGTAGATGATGGTGGCAATGGATTAATTAAAAATGATTGATATTTTGATTGGTTGTTTTGTCACTTTTTTGAATTTTTGTCACTGTTTAGTTTTTTTTGAATTTCTGTCACCTTTTTTTATGTTTATCACTTTATTAAAATTTATGTCACTTTTTTTTAGTGATAAACATTACATTTTAATAAAAATGACACTTAACTTTAAAAAGTAACATTTGTATCACTTTTTTTATAATAAAGTGACACTATGTTTATAAAAAAATGACACTTAACTTTACAAAATATTATTTACTTCTAAAATATTTTTTACATGATTTTTCAAAAAATCTCTAATTTTAAGGGTATTTTATAAGTTAACATTTTTTTATTATTTATTTTTAGGTAGTCTTTCTGCAAATCAATGACAGCCCATCTTTCAATTCACAATAGTCCAAGCCCAAAGTAAAATAAATTGGATAAATCTACTTGTATATCAAAGAGGAAATTACAGCCAGCCCTACCTTTAGATTTCCATTTTCATAAATCACATACCCACTTTAACTTTTCAAAAATCAGGTTTTTCATATTTAATTTA